GACGAGAACGTTTCACAGCAACTCCAACGCTGCAGCAGCATGATTCAAGATGGCCGCCACAGCACAGTTAACTGATGGCAGGTAACGGGAAACTCTACAAAATAAAAGCTCAGGAACACCAAAGTAAGAGCGCTCGTGTCAGTAAACAGGAAGTGAAGCTCGATGAAGAACTTGTAACAACAGACGCCGCCCTGAACAAACACTCTGCGCCGACCACGGGATTAGAACCAACATCCTCCTCGCCTCGTGTCCCTGTGAGACATCTGAAGAACCTGCTCTGGTTCTGATGGGTCTGAACCACAGCTTAATCTGAGTACACTGGTTCCAGGTCCAGTAGAACCTCCTCCAGTGGTTTCCTGTTCCTCTTCTGGTTCTGGAGGAGTTCTGGTCCACTCTTCTTTCCATCTCTGAGGGTTCTGCTGAGCTCTCTGAAGGTCCACCACAGCATCCGTCAGGCTGAGGTTCTGGACTCTGACTGGACCGTTGGTTCTGCAGTGTAAACATCTGACCTCTGCTCTGGTTCTGGTCCAGAAGTCTGGTGGTTCCTTCAGATGAACCCAAGTTGTGCTGCCACGCTGTTTTTAGAGGAGGCCACGACCTTTGACCTGCTGAGGCCTGTAGAGTCACTGCACGGTCTGACCTTCAGGGTGAACCTTCTGTCTCATGTTTCATTTTCAACCCAAAACGCAGATTTCATAACGTTCAGACAAACTTTTACCTTTCATGACATTATCACTAATTATTAATTATTAATTAACGCTAACGTCACGGAGAGAAGAGGTTTTTAAACCGACCCGTCTGTTTTCTTGTCTTCACAAGAACTCGGAGTTTGCGTCGCGACCCGCGAGTCGTTAATGAGCAACAAGAAACGTCCGTTGAAAGTCAACGACGCGTTCGTCTTTGCCTCGAGCCGTTCGGAGCTCGTTCACTTTGCTGTGGTTGAAAATAGAAAAACAACTTCTCAGGTTTAAACTTTACGTCTTTAAAAAACTCTATTCAAGTGTTGAAACCCCTGCAGGGCGACCATGTAACGTCAGATCCTCTGAAGAACCGTTGACGTGACGTTTGCAGTGGTAGTTGCTGAGAGTCATGGAAACACTTTGTTTGTTCAGTGTTGGTCCTGGAGACGGCACTGAAGGAGGATGGAGACTTGGTGACACCTGAACCAGAACCCCCAAACACCCCGTTAGACCGGGACCTGTGGTCATGAACTCTGGTAAGGATGGACCCTGGACACCTCCCTAGAGACGTGTTTTGGACGTGGCCGACTATGAGGAGACCCCAGGGAAGACCCAGGACACGCTGGAGAGACTACAGCTCTCTGCTGGTCTGGGAACACCTTGGAGTCCTCCCAGATGTGGACCTGCTGCTAAAGATGCTGCCCTCGAGACCCAGCTCTGAAACAGTCGGTCGGTTGATCGGTCGACTGGTTGGTTAGTTGGATGCTTGTTTGGTCGACTGGTTGGTTGAATGGTTGGTTAGTTGGATGCTTGTTTGGTTGGTCGATGGAAGACCTAAAACATGCATGTTAGTTTACCTTCAGGCCTCCTTTGCAAAAGAGATCAGTGATCTCAGTGGGATTTGCCTGGTTAAATAAAGGTTAAATAAAGGTTAAATAAAGGTTAAATAAAGGTTGAATAAAGGTTAAATAAAATAAAGATGGAACTCGTCTGTTTTTTCTTCTGGTCCTACAAAATAAAACCTACAAACTGGAGCCATTTTTTCAGCCCGTTAGCCGTTAGCCGTTAGCTTGTAGAGAATAAACCTTAGTTCAGCAAATAGCCTGTACCCCGATCAACCTTTATTCTTTTCCATCTAAAGTTACGTTTATTTAGTGAAACCAGCTCAAGTACTTTGGTACTATGAAAAACTTCAGGCATCGTTTGTTTCCAAGGGTCAAAGGAACAAAATCACAATTTCTAATGAGAGAACCCAAAGATGGACTGAAAACCAAAACAAAGAGGCGAGGCGGTGGCGAGGCGGTGAGTGTGAGTCGAGTAAAAACAGAGAGAGAACATTTCTGTTTTCTCGTTGGTCTGGTTGGTTCACTTCCTGGGCCGGAGTTCAGGGAAAGAATGTGGTCCCATTAGAAGTCACGAAACAGACAAACAGAAGAAGACAGGGTGTGTGTGATGGAAACACTGAAAGAAGAACCATCAACAAAACCACTGCTCTGACCGCTGGCAGGGACGGAGAGGTGACGAGAAAATAATGAATCGGCAAGAAAACGTTGTGAAATCAAGAGAAAATGGGTGAAAGTGATTGAGACAAGAGGTAACAGGAGCAAAGGAAACTAAACTCAATGTAACACGGGAAAATATGGAGGCAAGAAATTAAAATTAAAAATGCCTTTTAACACTAAAAACAGTGAGAGCTCACAGAACGCTGCAGTAAAAATAATACATCAAAACCACGCTCATGTTCAGCGCTCCGGTCTCAAATCATTTAAATGAAACATTAGCTACAACCCTTCAGTGTTAGCAGCTAAAGTGGAACCGCTAACGCTATTAGCTGAGGCTAACATTAAAGATAATCCGTTTTATGTAAATAATTTAGCTACTTAGCTGAGCGCTAGCAAGCTAACAAGTATAAAGATTTAGCTACTTAGCTGAGCGCTAGCAAGCTAACAAGTATAAAGATTTAGCTACTTAGCTGAGCGCTAGCAAGCTAACAAGTATAAAGGTTTAGCTACTTAGCTGAGCACTAGCAAGCTAACAAGAATATTTAGCTACTTAGCTGAGCGCTAGCAAGCTAACAAGTATAAAGATTTAGCTACTTAGCTGAGTGCTAGCAAGCTAACAAGTATAAAAATT